ACGGATTTTTGCTTAGAGCATAATCCAAAACAAGAAAGAAGAAGAAAGAAAGAAATGTACGAGTTAGGCAAAGTGCCTGTCTTTCCTTAAAACCTTATTTGCCACCTCCCAAAAGTGCTAGGAGCGTTGTGGCCTAGGTTTCCCAGGATAAAACGTACAACGGTTCGACGTTTGAGCACCCAAACGAACGAACCCGGCGAACTAGAGCACGGGCAAAACACAGTAGCAAGAAAAAGGAGTAGGAGCAGAGGTTTTGAGAAGGAAAATTGCTTATCTTTGTGTGTTGTGTACTCTCGTGTTCTTCCCACACTTGTTGTGAATCACTTGCTCCTACTACCTCTTCTTATATAGGAATTGGAGTACTAAATAGCATTTAGTAGGCATTCATGGCACGTTGGTAACATCTGAAACAGCTGGTCATTAGTGCAGGTTTAATTCAAAATTCAAAATGAATTAATACAGAGATTAATTCCTGTAACAGATGAATTAAATCTCCACTGTCCAGAAACAACTCTGGTAGACCGAAGTGCTGTTCAGCCGCAGCGCACGAGAGCAACTCTCGTGCTGCATGCTCTCGGCCAGACCGCAGCGCACGAGAGCAACTCTCGTGTTGCTTGGTCTCGGCCAGCGCACACGAGAGCACCTCTCGTGCTGCTTGTTCTCTGTTCGACCAGCGCATGAGAGAGCAACTCTCGTGTCGCTCTTTGTTCGGCCTAATGCTCTCGGGGCAGGTCGAACCCAGGCTTTCAAGTGGCTTAGAGTTTGGAAAATTGATACCGTAAGTTGGCATAACTTAGCCCGCAAGGCCAGCCAATTTCCGGACGACATTCGTGCCCGTAGGTGCCGGCGCACACGAGCTCGGGCTTGAATCAATCCTCTCCGAAGTCATCTCTAGTTGGAATTTGATTTGCACCCCCCCCCCTCCCCGCGCGAGAGAGCCTCTATGCTATACAATTCTACAAGCTCTAAAAAAGCTCTTGTATAAAAGGGGGGTGAAATCCTCTTTCCAAATCAATGTGGGACAAAACTCACTTTTCCCTTACATTTTCCAACTCAATGGGTCTACTTTGAGAATCAATATCTCATTCACCCATTATCCGTTTTGAGCGTACAATATATCAATCTCTTCGTCTCACTACGAAGAATCCGAATCCACTTTCACCCGATCCAAATCGGAAGTGGACCCCACTGATAATTGTACCACAAAATAGCCACTTAACATGTCATTTTATGCCATTTTAATGCTATTTTTCCAACAATCCCCCACATGAATGAAAAATTGATTTTCGGGGTATTTTGAAATCGGAAACAACTGTGTTTAACGGTCGATCTCTGCATAGGATAGGTAGGGATCACTATACCCTTTGAACCTTCCCTTGTGAAGACATGTTTACTCTACTGGCTGTACGGTAGAACGCAATGTCTTTGAACCGACTGCCGTTTGTGTTGACGATGACATATCTCACACAGGAACCTCCCAACCATGCTCTGTTCTCATTAGTGTGCCCATTTTGGTCGTGGGTCACCGTCCTGGTTCTGCAAGAGTTTGTGAAGAATTGCGCCCATCAATTCTCCTTTGAAGCGACCCTCACTTCTCTCTCACATAGGTGATTCTTTTCCGAGTATCCCGCATACTCACACATGTCAACCGACATTCGAATCATTAAAGCATCAACATGCTAACCTTACGCGGGAGTCACTGTTTCTAACGAGGAGTGGTAGGGAGTCCGAGACCCCCACAGTGACACGCTCCGTTCCATAATTTAGTTGTCCCATTGAACCTAGGTGTCAGCTAGGTTGGGTATCCACTATAGAACTTTTAGTCCAAGGGCTTTAGACCCATTCCTCGTTCCAACTTCTCCACAACCATTTGCTTACCCTCGGGTTAGCGAGTTAGCGGCCGCTACGTTATCTTTTGACATCACGTAGTCAATAGAGATAACTCCCGTTGTGAGAAATTGTTTAATGGTATTATATCTACGACTTATAAGTCTAGACTTACCATTCCACATTTAACTCTGTACTTAACCAATTTTGGCTTGACTATCGCAATGCACACAAATTGGAGGTACGAGTTCACCATTAGGAACATTCTCGAAATAATGGCATAGCCATTCGGCCTACTCGCTCGCGACACGAGTGTAAGGCTCTCAGCTTTGATCCCGTTGGATCTTAGCTATCACAAATTCATTTCGAGAATTTCCGTCCAACCGACTGCACTGGCCTACGTAAGGACGTAGCCTTTAATGGACTTAGTATCCTTTGATATCCGTGCTATATTTTCCAAGTACAGCTAGATATCTCACTTAGTGCAGTCCAACGTCACGAGCATACCTTGAGTATCTCATAACTTTCACTATTGCCTTCTAGTGCATAACACTAGGGTTACTCGTATGTCACCGAGTTCGTTAACCACTAAGGCAATATCCGGCCTAGTACAACCCATTTGATACAATTAAACTACCGATAATCTGAATGTATTCTCCGTGAGAAGTACAATCTCCGAGATTATTGGCTAGTTGTACGTTAGTATCTAACGGTGTCCAAGCCACTTGATTAACATCCTTTGCAAGGATTTAATCAACACAGTGAGATTGGCTCAACACGAGACCATACAGTCTTCTCACAATTTTAATCCCGAGGATTAAATTTGCCAACCCCATGTCAAATATCAAATTTAACATGTTCAAGGTAGAATTGATCATTTGATCGTTACTACCCACGTTGAGTTTATCGTGTATAGACAAATAGTGATAGCCTCGTCTATCGTACGCATTACGTAGACATTTATCACATTTGTTTATACTAAACTCGTGACACATCATTGTATGATCAAAACCTACATGCCAAATACTAAGGCAATTGTTTCAAACCATACAATGATCTCACCAATTACACATTTTCTTTCCCTAGCGTGGAACCACAAAACCCTCGGGTTGTTCCATGTCTATTAAGAAAGCGATACATCCATTTCGATAAACTTCCAAGTCTCGCTAAACAGCTCTCGGAAGTATCATCCTAATGAATTTCGTTCTCATCACAAGAGAATATATATTGAAGTAATTGTGGCACTAACGTCGCATGTAATTTAAAAATTACAAGCTCGGCCATTTTACTTCGATATAACCAACCGGTTTTATCTTCCGACTAGTGGCACTAGCGTCGCATGTCATCTCTAGTTGGAATTTGATTTGCACCCCCCCCCCCCCCCCCGAGCAAGAGAGCCTCTATACTATACAATTCTACAAGCTCTAAAAAAGCTCTTGTATAAAAGGGGGGTGAAATCCTCTTTCCAAATCAATGTGGGACAAAACTCACTTTTCCCTTACATTTTCCAACTCAATGGGTCTACTTTGAGAATCAATATCTCATTCACCCATTATCCGTTTTGAGCGTACAATATATCAATCTCTTCGTCTCACTACGAAGAATCCGAATCCACTTTCACCCGATCCAAATCGGAAGTGGACCCCACTGATAATTGTACCACAAAATAGCTACTTAACATGTCATTTTATGCCATTTTAATGCTATTTTTCCAACATTTTGTATTATAACTTTGGTATTTAATTACAAGATAGTGTAAAAAGAAGACAATGGATAATGTAGTGATATAATTAATCAATGAATTTGAAGGTAATCAATCTTTGAATTGTAGAAAATAAAGATAATATAATTAATGAAATTATCTCTCTTTTTAATTTTTTTTTTATAATGAATAATTCTTTTTTTTTTTTTGAATAAACGCATTATAGACATCTAATTTTAAATTAATTAAATGCATAAGTATTAGTTTTTATTGTAGCTGCTAGTTTATTTAATTTAATAAGAGTAATAAAGTGGGGTACTTACTTTTCATCCACAACAATGAAGTCACTTATATTGATTTTTTTTTCATTCATTGTTGAGACAAATTGTTTGGGAGTTTGTCAATAACAATTGCTGTCAATAGAGAATGATAATAAATAATTCAAAATATATTGGCACAATAGATTTTGTTATAATGATATAGTAAAAATTAAGTTACAAATTTCTTCAGAAGCTTTCTTGCATTGATAAAATTCTGAGAATGATGTGTAAACTTGTTCAGTTGGAGCCGGTGGGATGTCAACATTGTCATTTATGTGGAAAATGCTTCTACCATTTTAGAGTCTAGGTTTAGTTTTATTTCTGATCAACAACTTTATAGTTAGATGAGAAACTATGGGGAAATCAATATGAGGAATGGAATAACTGAAATGTTGTAGTTGTGGAAAATTTAACAAGTTCATTCCATCAACCCCTAAAATGGAAATTGATTGAAGATTCCAAGCACGGAATGGTTTTAAGAGGATAAAATATGACAATTGTGAAAACAAGCATCTCAAATGGTTAAAGAAGAAAATAATGTATGATGATTAAAATCATTTGATTGTGTTAGCCGAGTTTAGCCCCTGCTCGATTCGAGATGTGACGTTGTGGCTTACCATAGAGAGATGTGGTTAAATGGTTAATGTCCACCTACCTATTACCAATTGGTTTTAAGTAGGATATGAAAACCAGGTACCATAGAACTCTGTGGTTAAGTGTGCTTGATTTCCGGCAATCCCGGGATGGGTGACCTTCTGGGAAGTAAGCATAGTGCAGTGCTGAGATCCATCAATTGGTATCAGAGCCGAGTCCAGTCCCAGGTGGGATGTGGGCGTAGGTCGGGCCAAGTCCAATAACTGGGCTTGGTGATCAAAGGGCGCGTAAGCTAAGGACCGAGTCAAGCATAGGTTGCGGCATTGTTGGGTGTCGGAAGAAGGTTCTTCTTTTTAGCTTCCCTCACACAGAAAGAATGCAATAAATCATGGATTCTAAATGCCTTTATTTTTCTTCCACAAGAACTTGTCTGGATTACAAGAATTAGGTTTCTGTCCTTGAGTTCTTGAATGTATCCTTCGGTAGCTGCATCAAGGCTCATATTCTCAAATTCCTTTACAAGTCCTTCGGCACCTCATAATTTTACAAGATGTTTCACATATATCTCATTATCTTCTGGAAAAATGCTCAAATATAAAAAACCAGCCTTCAAGTTGTAAGGCAAATGATTGTAGCTTGATGAGAGCATCCTTGAGCATTCTTCATCAATAGTTGTTGTTGCAAATGAATTTAGAGTTTTATCTATATTTTTCTACTCATATATTTCATTGAGTTTGGAAAATAGACCCACAACCACAACAATTGCCAAAGGAAGACCTTTGCATTTCTCAACAATTGGTCTTCCAATTTTCTCAAATTTAACACTTCGAGATTTGCATGCCTTTTCATGAAATAAACTCCAACTCTCACATTGATCTAACAAATGCATTTGATGAGAAAAGTGTTTTCTAGAACCAATACAAATAGCCACATCTGCAAAGCGAGTTGTCAACAATATTCGACTACGATTTTCATTATCTAGAAAGCAAATTTTGATAGCATCCCATGCCTTGTCACTCCATATGTCATCTATCACAATAAAGTACAGTAATTTTGCAATTCCTCATTTTAAGTAATTTGACAGAATTAGATGACTGATGTAGATTACTGATTGATTCAGATAAGAGGCCAATCAGTAATGATAGATCACGAAGAGAGAATAAGAGAAAGATAACCGCACAAAAGCCAAAGACGCAGAATGTTTACCTAGTTCGATACGGTGTGTATCTACGTCTGGGGGACGATCACATAGGCGTCCAATCCACTAAATCATAAACCAATGTACAAAGGTAGATATACAATAATCTTACCCAAGTGCCCCACACAAGGTTCAGACCCAGTCTACACAGGTCTAGTGGATTGTTGAAGATGGAGAGCCATGCATACAGAAGTCCAATGAAATCCCTTCACTTGGAGAGCCCACTCTGATGCAGTCAACTTCAATGACGCTCTATAAAGTTGTTCCCACAACAGTGTGATCACAGTGTCCTTTTGTTTAAGCAGTAATAACTCTTCTCAAGTTCATCATCTTAATCACCGTGAACATATTGTATTGAGAAGATTCATGACAATCAAAGATCTAATCTCATATAGCAGATATGGAGTGTTTCTTCTTACTTTCGGCGTAACCCTAATTCTCTTCGAATAAGGGTACTTATAGATCCTTCAATAACCACTCTCCATAGATGTATTTGATCGTAGAAGGTAGGACTATAAAAGAGGAATGTAATCTCAGAAGATTAGGTCCATACCTTTCTTAAGAATATACGCTGATCATCTTTCCATATGAGTCTGATAATACCGCGTAAGCCTTTTAAGAAACCAGCTTCCTAAATCAGATCTTCAGTGTCAGTCCTTCTGTTGTTGCTTCTGATTGATCAGTTATCTGTAGAGATAAACGGACAGACTCTAAACCTATCTTAGTATGCCATAATAATATTGCCAATTATAATATGGGGTTTTTGAACATTTAAAAACACTAACAAACTCCCCCTTTGGCTATTATTTGGCAAAACAACTCGACTAGAAACTCAAAGAGCTAAGATAGGTTATTATAAAGAAGCAACCCATATGTCCGAACCGATTACATAGAATGAAAACAGAAACATAGGGTCCAAAACAGTTTAGGATAAAAAAAAAAAAAACATAAACGCCCAGCCAGGGCCAGAAGGGACTCGAACAAAAACAAATAAAAAAAAAAAAAAAAAAAAAAAAAAAAAAAAAAAAAAAACTCCCCCTGAGTTCATACTACTCCCCCTTTTTGCCAATGGTAGCCAAAGATCAAGCATTGGAGGGAGAGCCACTGTCAGACTTCATAGGATCAGCAGCAGCAGCAGCTTCAGTCAGGCTCAAACGAAGAAGAACAGTAGCTAGCTCAGTACGGGCACCTATCAGTTGCTTTGCAATAATGTTGTGCACCGTCTCAAGAACAGCAACTCTTGCCTTCAGCTGTATGGAAAGCTGAACATCCTTAGCATGAGGAGAGTCATCAGGCACAGCATCTGGTTCAGGATTGGATGGGGCAGTCACATGAACAACATCCCGAAAGTGATATCCAGACAGAAGACGTTTATCAACAGTATAAAGCAACGTTGGGCTGATCACTTCACTGGGCATAGGCTCAAGGCCCTGAGTGGTAAGGATGCCAAAAATCAGATTTGGGAAGGGTAGTCTTACCTTCTGTTCGCGTGGGTGAATTAGGGTGAGGATGTGATACTAAATCCATTTGCCCAGATCAAGTTGCATCTTTGTTCCAATTCGAAATAAGAACCCAGCCAGAGGCTTGCCAACTGTGTGAAAATGGGCTGATGGGAGCCAGTTGTGAAGAGCTAGGCGGTGTAAAATCACATATCTGGACGTGAGATGGGAGCTTTGCAGATAGTCCTTGTCACCCGTAGGCCATGATTTTGTCTGCCCACCGGTCAGAGTTCTGGCAACTAAGTCCCAGTCAGTAACAGCTTCTTCTTGAACTGCTGGCAAACCATAGTATTCATTAATCATATCCGGCCCAAAAACCTACCACTTTCCTCTGATAAAGATTTGCATCGGTCGTGGCCCTGTGAGAACGTCAATCTCATCATTGAGATTGCAATAGAATTCATATGTGAGCAGCTTAGAGTAAGGGCAGATGTCCGTGACATTTTTCAACAATCCGACTTCAATCAGCAAGGGCAGAATGTCACAAACGGAGTTCAGCTGGTTCTTGTCTACCGATCTTTGAACAATAAGATCCCTTCTAACCATAGTGGCCCATTTGGTTTGTGCAGCAGGAGATACAAACTGAGGCCGGTAAACAGATGGGTCAGTTTCTTCAACAGGTGGGACTTCAGGGGTGATACTTCGACCTCTTGATCGTGTGGATGGCTTCCCTTTTCTGACAGAAGGGGCTGGTACAGAGGTAGCTTGAACAGCAGTAGATCCTTTTTGCTTAACAGACGATCGCAGAGTCTTGAACACTTGTTGAACAGGCGGGTTTCCTTCAGGATTAACATTCTCACTCGACTTTCTCTTCTTCTCAGGCTGATCCACATCAGCATTATCATCACCGGTCTCAACAACAACCTTTACTGGGACATTCTTCCTTTTTGACCGTCTTGTTTCCTTGGTTGGGGACTGAACCGGAGTCACAGAGTGGCTAGAATCAGAAACATTTGCAGACAAGCTTCCAAAAATATTCGAAATCTCTCGAATTTTGAAATTCGTGGAGTCAGGATGAGCAGTTACCTCAACAGTTGGAACATCAGGTTGAAGTGCTTGAGATCCATACACTTCAGCCAGTATTTTATCATCTTCACTGGAGGATTCGGAAGGATAAATCACTCGATATGGTTGAGGGATGGAATCAGATGGTCGCCCAGCAAAGTGTCGCACATGTTCCAGACTCTCTCCTAAAGATGTTGCAGTGTAAACAGGAATTCCACCTGTTTTCTCAGACTTGTGGGGGCTTGATAAATCAACAGTTTCAACAGTAGCAGGTAAAATAGGAGTATCAACAGCAGAGCAAGTTTCTTTAGTGTCAACAACATTCTCAGCAGGAGACAGATCAATATTATCAGAAGAGTAAATGACTAAACTCAGTGGATTTAGCTCATCAGAGGTCTTTGCTTTCTCATCAAACACATGCAAGACATCAGTTTTCATACCAACAGATTCACTCAAAGGCAGAGATAAAGAATCAACATTCATAAGAGGCTTCTCGGAATCCAAAGCAGTTAAATTTTCAGAAATAACAGGCACACAAGATGGGGTAGCAGAAACATCAGGTTTATCTGGTGAAATTTCAATAAGAGTTTCAGAATAGTTTGACCTGTTTCGGAGGATCTCCTGTCTGTGTGTTGCCTCTTTTTGAGCAGCTGCGATATACAGGGGTTGCGCCTCCGCTTGCCGTCGAGAGGCCTCAACCAATTCTACGGCTCGATGTGCAAAGTATTGAAGGAATGCCCCGGCCCGATTTCCATCCAAGGGTTCTGGAATATATACTGGAGAAACTTCATCACTGGCTTCAGAAACCATCATAAGCAGTTCAGTCGCATCATCTTCAGACCATTCTGCATAAAACTCTGGGTAATAGGTCATCACAGTTACTAAAATCTCGTCGCGAAGCAGAGGATCAAGTTTGAGCTTCTTCTTCATAGCAAACTGCATCAGCGTCTGAATATGCTTAAGGGCCACCTCCGGAGAGTGTGTCTTGCTTCCAAGTTTGATAATGATATTTCTTACAGGGTCTGCCATTGAAGGTTATGTGCGAAGAGAAGAGCAGATCACTGAAGGCAGATATGCAAGAGAGATAGAAAGTTGAGAGCTGTGGTGATCGAAGATGTGTTTTTCTTCTTGACCCGGTATCAAATAGGTTTAAGGGTGATGAACCCTAATTAATGCGGCTTGTCAAATATCATGCAGACGCGATTGATTAACACAACGGTACAGCTCTTTTTTAGGAAGGAAACGGAACCCAAGGAAATTTGAAATTCGAAAAGAAATTAAGATCTTTTAAGATATCTCTGAGAAACATAATGTTAAATAATCTTCTTAACATAAATAGAGAGGAGACTTTAAGGAAAGTCAAATCATAACACTGACCCGTATACACCAACTCCTCTCTGACGGAGCAACTGCTTTAATCAGTCAATTCTGCAAATTCCCAGAGCAGATCTGAGAATTTCAAAACGATTAGCATCCAATGGCTTAGTCAGAATGTCCGCCAGTTGTTTGTCAGTCTGAATGTATTCCAATTCAATTTCCTTGGATTCAACCAGGTCTCTGATGTAATGATGCCTGATGTCAATATGCTTCGTTCTGGAATGTTGAACAGGATTCTTGGAGATGTTAATAGCACTAACATTGTCACAGAAGAGTGTCATTGTTCCTTGAGTAAGACCATAATCCAGAAACATCTGTTTCATCCATACCAACTGAGTACAGCAACCACCTGCAGCTATGTATTCTGCCTCTGCAGTGCTTAGAGAGATTGAATTCTGTTTCTTGCTTAGCCATGATACTAAGTTTTTACCAACGAAGAAACATCCTCCAGAAGTACTTTTCCGATCATCAATATTTCCTGCCCAATCAGCATCACAGTATGCAACCAGATTCAGTTCACTGTCCTTGGAATACCAGAGTCCATACTGTATCGTTCCTTTAATGTACTTCAGAATGCGTTTTGCAGCTATCAGATGAGATTCCTTTGGATCAGATTGATACCTTGCACAGATTCCTACACTGAACATTATGTCTGGTCGACTGGCAATTAGATACAGTAGACTGCTTATCAAGCTACGATAGACTGTGTTATCCACTGATACACCAGTTTCATCTTTCGATACTTTTGTAGAGGTGGAGATAGGTGTTCTGGAAGATTTACATGTTTCCAGATCAAACTTTTTGACAAGATTTTTAGCATACTTCTCTTGCGAAATAAAGTATCCTTCAGAACTTTGCTTGACCTGTAGACCTAGGAAGTATGTCAGTTGACCAACCATGGACATTTCAAACTCTTCCTCCATTACTTTTACCAACTCATCAGTGTATTTCTGCAGGGTTGATCCAA